AGGAAAAATTTCTTCACCGAAAGGGCAGTCAGGCACTGGAAGAGGCTGCCCAGGGAAGTGGTTGAGTCCCCATCCTTGGGGGTATTTAAAAGATGTGATATGTGGTGCTTAGGAACATGGTTTAGTGGTGGCCTTGGCAGTGATGGGTTAACGGTTGGACTTGAGGATCTTAAAGGTCTTTTCCAACCTGAACAATTCTATGATTCTATGATTTCCATCTCCGTCATCATCCCCGTCCCCATCCCTGTCTCCATCCCCACCCTCACCATCCCCGCGCCTCGCTGGGTGCTCACCCTCTGCTCCATGGGACCGTACCGCGTCACCCCAGGGTACATATCCTGGGAGCTGCCTCCGTCTCCCGCGTGGGGGGGGTCCCACGACGTCTCACCTGTTACCGAATTATAGAAAAAAGCCTGTCCGCTGGCTTCATCCACGTACTGTTCCCACGCGGGAAACTCCGGGCTGTGGGCGAACGAGGAGGCGGGAGAGGCGACGGGACTCACTCCATCTTCTGCCTGCCCAAAGGGACAATCCCACGTGGTCTCGCCCGTCACCGGGTTGTAATAAAACAAATGTCCACTGTTTATATCCGTGTGGGTTTCCCAGTCTGACACGGAGCTGCCGGGCTCCTCCGGGGCCGAGCTGGTGGCTGCAGCTTCTTCCCGCAGCTCCTGGATGTTGAGGTAGATGGGGGCGGGAGGCTCCTCCAGCTCCTTGCGCACCTGGCGGGGAGACGGATGGGTCACTCGGGTGCTGCAGTTGGCGATGGGTGCGGCGAGCCGTGGGGCAGGGATGCTGGGGACGGCGTTCTTGCGATGTCCCCGCCGTGGTACCCGGGCTGGCGGATGGATGCGGGGGCCGAGGAGCCGGATCCTGCCCTGCCCCGGCTGCTGGCGCATCCCTCCTGCCCAGGCACCCAGCAGGCGCTGCCCTGAGACACCCTCTCCCATGGGGCAGGAGCTGAGAGCGATGGGGTGTCAACGGCCAGCTGGTGGAGGAGGGCACCCATAGCACCCACAGCACCCACGTTGGGGCAGGGAGCACCCAGCTGGCAGTGGGGATAAGAGTCCGGCCCGAGCACGCGGAGACAGTTTGGGCTTGGGGCATCGTGGTCCCCAGTATCAGCACCCTCATCACCGGTACCCATGTCACCCGCTGCGCCTGCGCCCCTGGGATCTGCACCCAGGGCATCAGCATCAGCACCCCAGCACTTCCAGCACCACATCGTCAGCACCCAGGGCATCGGCATCAGCACCCTGCACTTGCACCCACCATCATTGGCAGCCAAACCATGAACACCCCAATATCTGCACCAACGTCTGCAGCCCCAACACCACCGACATGCCCACCGCCTGCACCCCCAGCCTCTGCACCCACCTCCCTGGCACCAGCACCCCAGACTCGCACCCTCACCACCTGCACCCACGCATCGGCACCCTCAACATCAGCACCCTGGGACATCTCCAGCACCCACATCACCTGCACCCCCAGCCTCTGCCCTCGCATTGCCAGCACCCAGACCATCTGCACCCATATCACTGCCACCTACACCCACATCACCAGCACCCAGACCACAGCACCTACAGCCCCAGCACCCTGACCCCGCCAGCGAGCAGAGCCGGGCGCTGAGACTGACAGCCCCATCACCACGTCCCAGAATAAGGCCCCGAGCACCCCCGGCGTGGGTGCCTGGCTGCCCCCCGCTATCCGTGGGGCGGCTGCGGGTGGGGGGACGTGGCCCCTGGGACCAGGCGGCCGCGGGTGGGTGGCTGCCGGCCGGGAATCGCCTCCTGACACCCTTTGATCTCCCCAGCTTTACAGCCCCTGAGCCTCCCTCCAACGGTTGCGGGGACAAAGTTTCCCAGCCTCGGCCCTGCCCGTCACCCTGGGGCGCGGGGGGACGGCGGGCAGAGTGTCCCCAGGGACACCCTGGAGCGGAGGGGGACAGCGGATCAAATGTCCCCAAGGTCACCCCATCACCCTCCCCCCCCGCTGCCCCACGACCCCCCCGCTGCGGCGAGCGGGGCCGGAAGCCCAGCGCAAGAGGCCACCATCATCTTGGGGACAAGGGACGTGGGGGTGAGGACGGGGGACCCCCGGCAGGGAGCCCCCCCAGCACCTCCCTCCCTCCCATGGGTGCATCCCCGGGGGTTTTTCTCCCCCCAGGGTGGGGCTGGGTGCCCCTCGCTCCTTCGGGACGGGCATCTTGGCACCCACCGGTGCCCGGTGCCGCTTCCGTGGCGTAACCACTCAGGGAAATCCAGGAGGCAGCTTGGAGGCTGGGGGTGACCCCACAACACTCCCTCCACCCACCCTGGCTGGGTGCACCCATGGGTGCTGCCTACCTTCCCCAAGTGCAGGAGCCGCGACACCCTGCTACGGGACCGCTGCAGGGCACCTGACGCCCGGTCACCCATCCCGGTGGGCGCTGCGGGGGGGTCAGCCGGCGGGGGCACCGAGAGGCTCCGGTGATGCCGATGGCGCCCTGCGCTGGGCCCCGCGCCGGCCGCGCTTCCTGCTGGGGTTCGGGGAGCGGAAGAGCCGCCTCCGAGCCCGGCGCTTGGCCCCGGAGCGGAATTGGCTTTTTTTGGGGTTGTTGTCACCCCGTCACCCGCCATCCATCGAAGGTCACCTGCTCCGGCAAAACCAAGGCCGACCGGGCAGGAACTGCACCGGGACGATGCTGTGCCGGGGATGCAGCTGGCGCTAACGGGGAAAACTGCCCACCAAATTTAGGTTGGCCCATCCGGCATCGTGCCGCTCCACCGGCAATGGCATGGGAATGAGCTGGGGGGCTGTGTCCCCCCAGTGCCGGGATCGCCCCGTCCCGGCAGCCGAGGCAGTGGATGCACATGGTGGCCAGGCCAAGGCCACTGCAGCCCCGCCATTGCCGGCGCCGGTTGGTTTTGGTGCCGCTTGGGTTTAGGCAGGGGAAGGGGAAAGCTCCAGCAATGGCACCGGGGTCGGGGACCACACTGGGTCTCTCCCGGGGGGGCATCGGTGGCTTTGGGTGTGCAAAGAGCGCTGGGAGGGTTAATCCGGCACGGCTGGGGTGGCAGGGTGTAAAATGGGGTGTAAAATGGGGTGTAAAACCCAGTCCCTTGCCACCCCCCCCTCTGGCATTGCCCTTGCCCCGCTGCGCCCCACTCCACGTCAGTGGCAGGCGAGGGGACACCCCCCACCCTTGGGTGCCCCCCCAACATGAGGGGTGCAGCAGGGAGCTCCGGGATGGGGGGGGGACTGGGAAGGGCCCCTCGCTACTTACTGGTGTGGGGGGAGCGTGGGTTTTGGGGTGGCGGGGCGCCTGCCTTGGCCGGGGTGCACCCAGCACCCACCTCCGGCCCTGGGTGCTGCGCCCAGGTGAGACACCCGCCCCGGCAGGGAGGAGTTGCTGCGCTTCCCTGTTAACCCCTTTCTGCCTCCTCTCGCTCCGGGAATGCTGCCGGGACGGGGTGCGGGACCCCCCCAAGCACCCCTGGGTGGCACCGAGCCCCCCGGGGACCGCGGGCATCGCTGGGCTCTGCACCCCTGCGGTGGGGGCAGAGCCGGGGGGGCTGGGAGAGCCCAGGGTGCCCATGAGGGTGGGGAAACTGAGGCAGGGGGTTTTTTTTTGGGGGGGGGGGGCGGGGGCGGGGGGGGGGGGGGGGGCCCGGGGGGGGGTTGCCCCCCCCCCCCCCGAGGCGGTAATTGCTGGTAAACCGGTACGGGGGGGATTGGCCCACAGGTTTGCCCCAGCTCGGTGAGGAGACACGGGGGGTCCCAGCAGTGGCAGCAGGGCCGGGGAGCCCCTGGGTGCCACCCCACCCCGTGCCGGGGGACGTGGGGTTGTGCCGAGGGGACACAGGGGGCATTGAATCAGCTGGGAGACCCAGGCGTCCTGTCCTGTCCCCCCCCCAGTCAAACCCCCCTCGGCGCTGCCTTTGGGGACGGCACCGGGGATGTCACCGTACCTGAGGCGCATGGCCGGACCCCGGCCACCTCTTGGCCGTGTCCTTGTCCTTGCCGGGGGCATAGAGGGTCTCGGAGCGGCTCTTCCCAAGCGGGCGAGTGTGTCCTGGGGGGTCCCCGCGCGACCCCATGGCGGTGGCACTGCGTGGCACTGGCATCACCCGTGCCAGGTCATCCAGGGAGTGTGAGGGGCGCACGGGCTCGGCGGGGTGGGGGCTCAGCCCCGTGGGGACCCGAAAAGAGCTGAGTGCTGGCGGCGAGTCCCTCCTGGGCACCGAGTCCCTCCGGGGCACCGAGTCCTTCCTGGGCACCGAGTCCCTCCGGGGCACCGAACATCCTCCAGCCGGTTCCTCCGCCTCGGCAGCACCGACGAACCGATACTCGTAGGCTGGTGGCTGCTGCGGGACGAGCGTGGCTGGATCCATCCCGGCATGCCCCGGCGGCGGGGGATCGAGCGGGGCCGGGGTGGCGATGGGGGGCAGCTCCTTCACGTACTGGGCAGGGATGTAGAAAGGCCGGGCGTCCCCGCTCCTCTTGACGTGCCACCAGTGGTGGGTGGTTTGCTTCAGAAGGATGTAGGCCTCGTTGGGA